CTTTTAAAACAATACAGTTTCGAAGTTTCAGTGATGAATTGTTGACCTCTATTATACGATCTGTGTTACTGCATTTTCATTTTTGGCAAACAACGAATAACTGCCAATTAGAAGTGCTAAAAAAAAGTTGTTAAAGATAATAAACTGAAAGTTGTTTAAAAAACAAAAAATGAGACTACAGATATTTAAGCATTAATAATAATAAAAAATATATATATATATATATTTAAAATTTAAATAACATCATTTATTTAATTTAATTTTTTAACAAACCAAATTTTACACCATTTTCTATGAGCATTGTAGATTATGTAAATTTTTTGAAAGAATTTAAAAATTTGAATGATACAGTTTGACTTCAGTTTTATGTTTATTTATTTTTTCTGTTTTCTTTTGTTTTTCTTTTATTTGTTTTTATATGCATTTACATATTTGTAAGACAACAACAAAAGAAAAGAATTTGTTTTTTAAAGTATTAGTGTCAATTTGTTTTGTTCCGGTCTGTTCTGCGCCATTCCGTTCTGTTCCGTTCTGCTTCTTTCCTTTTGATTGTTTGATTAATCTGTTTGTTAAAATACATACCAAATTATCAAATGGTCATTGGCTACTGACAAAAAAAAAAAAAAAAAAAAAAATGCTGCTGTAGAGCACTTAAATTGACCTAAATCCCATAACTTAATTTGGAATAAGAGATCGCTGGAAAAAAAAAAAAATTTGGGAATTTATTTTTGGTGGCACTGAAAAATATCTATGACTGATTTTGATGGCCCAAATGATATGTTATGAAAAAATACATAAACAACAAATTCATTGGAACAACTTTTGTTTAATTTTTATCCATAAACAATGCTTCTTATGATCCTCGCTGTCATATTTGCTGTAACATTTGTACCATCGACAGATACATTTCAAATTAACAATGAAATTGTTGGCAGTCCAGTGGTAGGTATAAATAAAGTTTTTTGTACTTTAAATGATATTCTTCTGTATTGTATTTACCTATTAGCTGCTTTATCATTGATCAACAGTTCCACTTCTTAGCTTTTTTTTTTTTATATTCGATTCACAATAATCATTCAAGTTTTATAACTTTAAATTCTTTTTTTTAGCCTGTTTTGATTCATCTTTCTCTTCTCTTTCTATTTTGATTATCAACAGCTATAAAATCTAAAACAAAATATCAACATTCTTCTTGCTTATCAATTTATATAAGTGTTGAAAAGAAGTATTTTTTTCTTTAGAACAGTATGCAAATAACAACTTTTGAAATTTTGTTATAGTAATCTAAGAACTACTTTTTTAATACTCTTTTGTTTGCTTTTATACTATAAATTTAAATGAGTCTATTAACAGGTTGATTGTGAAGACACAATGGTTTCGTTAACATTTGAAACAAAAAAACCGTTTACTGGTCGTATCTATGTGAGAGGTTTAGCTGATGATGATAGATGTTCAAGAAATTTTGCTGATAATATTGATCAAAGCAAATTTTCAATGATGGTCCAAACTGGTGACTGTACAATGAAAAGACAGCGAGTTACTGGAACTGTTGAGGTCTCTTATTATTAGTCATTTGAACAACATTTCTTTTTTTATTATAAAAACCGTTGAGACGAAACAGCAAAATGCTGCAACGACAATAATACACATTATCTTAGACGATTAATGTTCAAAGAAATAATAATAATTTTTTGTCGCTTTTTTAAGGGTATAATGTTTTCGTTAACAATCGTGGTATCATTCCACGGCACATTTGTTACGAAGGTTGACAGAGCATATCGATGTATGTGTTTTTTCCGAAACGTTAAACATCTAACTTCTGGTATTGATATGCAACCAATCCAGGCAACTGAGCTAATGGATACTGCAGAGATGCCCAAATGCACCTACAGTATTCATTCAAATGCTCCAAATGGTCCCCAAGTTGTGTTAGTAATTTTTATTTACAGATCTAGAAGAAGAAAGTTTTTTTTTTAATTTCGGAGCAATTTTTTAAACATATTTTTGATTTTCTAGTTTACAGATTATGTTTTAAATTAACGACGCAAATGACGGTAACATTCTGCTTAGTAAACCACTTGTTAAGTTTAGTTAAACAAATGTGAAAAAGAGATGCGAGCCAAATGTTCAAAGTCTTTTTGTATAGAGAACCTCACCGATGTTTTATGTTAGTAGAAATAAACAGAAAACTTTCAGTTATGGAACCGTAGGCGAAAAAATTTATCATGTATGGGAATGCGACAATCAAAACTATGGTTTTTTGGTACATTCTTGTTTTGTCAACGACGGCAGATCTACAAGATTTGATTTGGTACGATATTATTTTTCATCTCTAGTAACTGACCAAAATCTTTCTAAAATATTATACAAATTATGGAGATATACTAGCACAAGTTAAGCCTTAAAAAACGTTCAATAACGATTAGTGTTCCAAAGAAACATGAATGGTTAGCGTTATGAGAAAACCTTTTCACTTTGCAGCTGGATATTGATGGATGTGCAATTGATCCAGTGATACAACCAGACGTCGAATATAGTGCTGATTTGACCCGAGTTTGTGTTTTGCCTTTCAACAATAAAGATTTAAAAAAAATTTTATCTTAAGAAACAAAAAACCCACTAGCGATGAAAATGAAATTGCAAAAAAATAGTTCATTATTACCCCCCATTATTAATACATAAAAAGTGATATTTGAAGTTAATAAATCTTAATACATTGTCTTCATAAAACGAAATGTTACTAGTTGCGGTTTTTTAGGCTGTTGCTGAGACTTGGGGTTATAAGTTTAGTGATACTTCCGTTCTGAATTATCAGTGTGTGGTGGAACTTTGTAAAAAAGACACTGGCGAGTGCGAAGGCCTAACTCCACCAGCATGCCATAAACAACAACGTCATGTCAGGTACTCTAACATTTTCCTTCATGTGATGGCTCTACAAGAAAAATTTTTGATCTTCGTACCAATGATAATTTCAGAAGTGAGCCAGCTAGAAAATCAAAAAGAAGTGGTGACTCAAAATGGAGCGAATTAGATCTTTCTGCTACAGTTCAGATGCTTGACAGCCTAAAGGAAGACGGGTTATATGATCTCGGCGAAGGAAATGTTATTAGAGAAGTGGATCAGGTAACTAATTCCACTGAAAAATGCACATTTTTTGAGTTTGTTGTTGATTTTTTAAAGTTACTCTCAAAACCGAAAAAAACCAAAAAAAATTTATTTTTGGTATCAATCAAAGATTATGTAAATTAAGATACCATTAAAGAAAACAATAGAACGTTTGCAGCCCTATCATGAAAAAGCGTCAACTATCACTGTGACGTCGTCAAATCAAGCGTGCTTCTCCTACCACTTACTAAGCATTCTCTTAGCCACTACAGGATTTTTGTTGTTCCTATTAATGACTCTCGTTTATCTAGTCGCCAGGAAGTCAAGGTCTATAGTCCAAAAATTCCACTTTAAAAATTCTTCAGACTGTCGAATCGTAACAGTACACAAATTAATTTTTCAGGAATTCAAAGTGAACAACAAATTCTACATCGTGGACTGCCGTAAGCAAACCGATTTCTGTAAATAATAAAGCAGATTCACGATATATATGATATATCCAAACCGGGTAAATAACGAAAATGCGACTTCTAAGTCATACTTCTACCAACTACAACGGTCAAAATCCTTCCACAGCGTTTTCATTTACCCACCAAACTTCTAGCCTCTGGAATGCCAAAGATAATAAATAATAATAAAAAAAAAAATGAATAAGTCTTACGTCATAACAAATACGCAAAGATTTAACTATCAATAAAGGTGTAACAAAATACGAAATAATTAGTGTTTTTTGGTTTTTTTTTCTCTTACCAATAATCGCAAAAAAATAAGGACTTAGTGGACTTTTAAAGAAACCCTGCTTAAATCAAACAGAATGTTACAGTTGGAGAACGCAGAAAAAAACGTTAAATTTTACTGCAAGCCACTGAAAAAATTAGTGACAATTTGCCCTTATCAATTCCACTCATCAAATCGTTGGAAAATTTAAACCGAAAATAATTACGGTTTTTTTCAAACACCAAACCAGAGATTTTTATCCACAGCAGAATAACACGACTAAAAGAAAGACGTATATTTACCGCAAACAAACAGTATAATGTAGTTCTAATCAAATATAAGCTTTACAGTTACTCAGAAGAACTTTTTGATGAAGAGAACAGTATAACCGATAATAACCGAAATAAAAATGCATATGTACAATGAAATGAGCTGGTACGCTATAAATGTGTTCAAATGTGAATGCTTTTGGCTAACAGTTATATACAGAAGTAAACAAGGTTTCCGATATTACAAAACCATAAGGTTCTGTCTTCAGTAGAATATAGTTGAAGAAATGAAGTGGATACCAAGACATTTTTATGACAATTCCAATGCTTTTTTCAGCCAGAAGTTACAATTTTCGTGATATAATATATGAGTTACTCATATTAAGCCGCTTCATATTAAGCTTCTGCTTCCTCGGCTTAATAGCATTTAGATGCTTTAATATCATAATCTCATGAAGGAAAAAGGTGAAAATAAAACACATTAAAACAAACTAAAAATATGGCCTCTTAACTTTCAGCGACTTTACAAGGTTTCAAAATTTCTCTTCATGCAACTCATAACTTTAGCAAGAAAAAATTCAGTTCATCTTGTTTTATATTCCTATATTCACCCTCAACCTAAAAAACTTAAAATCATTTAAAAAGACACTTCAGTTTCCATATTCTCAGAATTAAACAAATGCCCATCTGCACTCGACAACCACTTTGCAACAAGTGTCTTACGGCTCCCCGCCTTTTATTCCACCATCTTGCTGCTTTCCATTCCTCTCAGCCACTTTCAGCTTTTGACGACAAGTCACCTAAAAGGAAAATTGCACTTTTTGGCCCCTGAAGACAGCGTTTCAACAGTAAACAATATATCACTTTATTAAAGCGCTACAACCACAAGCAAAGCAAAATAAAAATCATAGAAACTGAAACATAATCAAACCTGAGAAGATGAAAACCACGAAAGATCAGTTCTTTCAACTTTGCTTGCTTATAAACCTTAAACCTTTCCCTGTCTACTCTCCAACCCCGTGTCGATTATCTACTGACCCGATGATATCCACCCACAGCCAAGGTCGCGCATACTAGTTTCTTATTGCTGAATCTCACTTTTAAATTGTCTTCCGTGGCTGTCAGTCGTTTCTCGAGATAATATCTGTATTAAACTTCCCACTCGTAAAAACACCTATGACACTAAATAGTGCATCATCATTCTCCCTCCGCAACTGAAACATTGTATCACGTTCGCTCCTGTATCCAAGTGGTTTGCAGACCAAAGTACCTTCTTTGACAAAAAAACCGCTCAGCTATTTCCAGAGAAATAAGAAAATAAATCGTCAAGCTTTATTTTAAATTTAACTTTTGCGTTCTTACTTTTTGAAGGTCAAGGATCTGACCACTTAACTAGAAATTGCTTAAGAATGCATCTAAAATCTAATTGCTTCTCCAGTGGAGGCAGCACCCCAAATTTCCACCCAAACTCTAATTTTTCTCTCTACGAAATTATAGCCAATAAGTGTGTTACCAGCTGTCCAGCTCAAAGGTCCTGTCCTCTACTGCGTATCTGCCCTCCCTGAGTTTCCAGCATTAGTACCATCGTAATTAGAAATCAAAGACTGTAACTTTTGTTTTTTAGCATACCAATAGAATTTGGGAATAGAAAAAGTCAGATAAACATTTAAAATACAGGCTAATGCCAAACCTCTCTTGATTCAACAAATATGTTCACAGCCGTTTCTTACCTCTGTTATTCGCTATCCAATTTGTATCACAGACGCTTCTAGAAGTAACGAGACGTCAGCTTCCTTTCTTAAATTCTTTCAATCAATTATTCTTCAGTTTACTTTACGCTGAACTCTGTCATTACACTAAAATAAGTTATTTTTTTCAGGCTTATTAGTTTTTTTGCTGTCTTGGTTCACTTACCCAATTTTTAAGGTTTTATTAACAAACTTTGACGTTGCTCCATATTCGTTTTTGATAAAGAAGTTCTTTTTTATAACAACGAAGGTCACCCAAATTTTGCAACGATGCCTATTCCAAAACTTCATATTTAACTTTTTAGCATATGAGATACTCGGCGGCAAATTCCTTCTAAGTTCAGAATTATCTTTAACATCCTCCATATCTTTTCAAAAGTAAGGCATACCTCAAAGTAAGGCTTAGTAACTTTGTCAATTCTCGGTACTTCGTACTTCAGATTAGAAACGGTTTGAAAAAACAATACAATGCGAAACGCGTACCTGAAAAGGCATACTTGACAAGATCTCAAGAACTGCAGTTTTCAAATTAAAAAGACAAAAGCCGGCAAGATTCCATTTGTGCAAGTGTGATTCGCAAAGCATGCCTTGGCCTCAAGACGTATATCAAATACTCTATGCCAAC